TATCAAAAGCTAAAGGTCCAAGGGCAGTAAGCTGTAAATGAGGATATGTTTTAGATACACTCACTCGTGGATATCTATGCATTACATTAGGTCCCTTAACTGCCTTTGTAAAGCAGTAATGTCCTTCCACATTCAGAATGATCTTCTTCCACACTCAGACTTACTACATTTGAGGCTGCTCTGGAGGGAGGATCAAGGGAAGAGGTTGTCCCTAATTGTAGCTGTCTGAGCTAGAAAGAAGCAGCTCACAGAGTAGGAGAATTAAATCCTGCTAATAGGCCCAGCATGTGCTATGGTAAAGTAGGGTATTCATATTGCAGGGTTGTTTGCTTGGATTTTTTTCTTTTTTTTTTTTTTTTTAGGAGTTCATGCTTTGTTGATGGTACAAGATGTGTTTGCGTACAAAAGAGGAAGGAGGGAAGAAAACAGATAAAGCAGAAAACAGAAAACAGATCATGTGGGTACTGCAGATAGCAACTGGAAAACATTAGACTCCATTATGTTACCATGCAACCAACTATGGAGCACACTACTGTTTCTGCACCAAATTGTGGGGGTCAGAAATGAAGCCAATACCAATTTCCTTTATAGGCTGTAGCATTAACTGATCTGTTGTGCAGTTCAGCTAGAATTTTCTCTTAAACAAGGTATGTTTTACCAGTCTAGCCTACACCATGCTAATGTGCTGATCATGTCCTTGTGCTAAGGACAAAAAAAAAAAAAAAGATTGGAGCATTGCCCCCATCTCCCCTTCTTTGTTGGGTGGCCATACTTCCTTTTATTTGTTTAGTGAAGAAGAAAAAAGTCCAGTAGGTAAAGAAGCTCCCTTAGCTTTTGCTTCTCAAAACTGATTACACATTGCTTCAACAAATGCTCATCTGTAGCTACAATAACACCTCTGTGCTGTTTCTTATTGAGGAATGCACGTCACACCTGTGGCACTGCCAACCAGACAGCTGTGAGGATTCCTAAAGACAGATAGGAAGGTCAAACACTTCAGCTCTTTATTGAGTGGATCCATCTATGACTTCGGTGGTGACTTTTTTTTACCACTGAGGGTTTACACCTCTTCCCTTGACACCTATCAAGAAGTGATACACTTGACAATGTGTCCTCAAACACAAACTTACATGTAACACCCTGCTTTGCATTGTGCAAAAGCTTCTTCTTTGAGGTAGCACACATAAAGGAGCTTGAGCAGAGACATGCCCAATTCTTAAATGCTTTTATTTTTCTTAAGAAGAGAGAGAATTTTCAAAAAACACATACTTGTTGTATACAGATACACAACCACTACAACTTTTACCATATTATCTCCATGCCTCCCTGAAATCAGTATAAAAACATTCTCATAACTTCAAAATAATGTTTTTTTTAAATTTACTTTGTACAGCATGCTATTGTAATGCTGAAATTATGGCTAAGAGTTTGGCAATGAGGCAAAGACCAGAAGTGCAAGTCATTGTGACTAGGATTGTGCTGTGGATTTCTGTTTTTGGGAGCAAGGTGGATACTGCAGTTCTGAAGCAAATTCATTTTTCTGACTGTCATGTGTTTCATTCAAAGCCTTTCACAAGAGGACAAATAAACACAGTAATGGCAGCACGATGTAAACATCTTATTTAATAATGCTAACAGTCATTAAAAAAGATATTCAGGCTTCACTGAATTATAAAGGAAATTGCAGCAGAAAGGAGAGCTGCATCATTAAATGAAATGTTCTTAACAGCTTTAATAGGAAAACACCTTTCCCTTTGTTTTATTGTGGTGATCAATGATTTATTACCAGTAGATGACTTTGCTTTTCTTTGTCAAACTGATAAGACAATTCTGTTACTACCAGGGATTACAATTAATCGGGATTTTCTGCATTTACTTCCTTATTTGTGCAGCAGCAGCAGCATCAAGTAAAGAATGGTGTTTATTAGTTACCTGCCTACTGGAAATATATTTAATTCAATTAAAGAATTGATACACAAGAGGAAATCAAGAATGTGAAAGTTTTGCTAAGGTTGAGAGCTTAAACACATTTATTTTCATGTAAGAAGTTTTTCAAACTTGTGTGGCTTTCTGATTAACTCAGCTAATACAGCATTTTGCAATTAAAAATTCACATATTGTACAATACTGAAATAGGAAGAGAAAGAGCTTTACACAAACATTGTGCTGTTAACAGCCTGTCTAACAATCTAGCTGGGAGATAAGCAGTACTTTCACCAAAGCAGTACTTTCTGGAGATGAAACACAGTTCCCTGCACAAGGCCCTCAAGCCCACAGTCCCTACCAGTCCACCTCTCGTGTACCAGAACAGATTGGTGTCATGCCAAATACCATACAGATGAGTAAAATGATAGAAAGTGGCTTGAAAACCAAAGAGATCTAGAGAACAGCTGTAACCATGAAGTGGGATGCAGGCAGCTCTGCCTTGTGACTGCATGATTCAATGTGTGTTCCCTCAGGCAATGCTGACAGTTTGCTACAGAGCTCTGGTCCCCACAGTCTATTTTTGGTGCTGTATCCTAATGACTTGTCCTGCAGAGTCTGTAGCTCCTCAGTTCACCATGATCTGGTAACAGCAATGTCTGTGCAGCATTCCCACTCACATCAGCGGGGAATTCTGCTTTAAAAATCAATTGCTGTGATAAAAGTCCCAAGTTCAAGACCTATCAGCTCCTACTCCTGCTTCAGCAACACTTGGGGTCAGGGAAGTCAGCAAGTCTGGCTGAGTGAGGGCGAAGGGAGTTTGAACTTAAAAGAAATGTTTTGTAATTACTCAAAAAATACATGAATGGAAAAAAGTGTTTCACAGCTATTGCCTGGACTGGCACTATCACAGTCTGCAATGCTGCAGGAATCACAATGATTTATAGTGCTTAGGGTTAAGACCTGCCTGACCACTTCAATTTTGGAGTTACAGAACATGAACAAGTTCTTTTGGCATTTCCTTGCTAGAAAGCAACCAGGTGAATTGAATTTCACTAACAGAACAGCCTTTACTCAAAACAAGAGATATTTTGATAGAAGTGGGTAAGGAAGTGTCTCCTATAATATTATTAGCAGATATGGTCTTTATTTTTTCTGCAGCAGCATAATTAAGAGAGAGCTTTCAGTGGAATGGACCCTCCCTACCTAATATAATGTTAATATGTTAAAAAATCAAAAGAAAAACTGCAAATGTTTTTATGTGAGTCTTTAGGCATGTTTACGTCTATGACCCAAATTTCTGCTTCATTTTTTAAAAAATGGAAAGACAGTTTTTAAGTATTTCTGTTATTTATGCACATACTGAAAATATACAGACTTCTTGAAAAGTTTTCAGTCTATGCATCCTTACTGTTACTAGTAAGGATCCTCTTTTTTTACCTCCAATGGTGCATTTATTACAATCCCACCAGCATAAATAAAGCAAAGTAGAAGAGGGGGAGGGAGAAGGAAGACAAGCATTACAAGTAGGGCCTTTTCTGCTTAATTTCTGAATTCAAACCACCAGACTAACTATATTCTAATCTACTCATTTGACATGTGTACCTTTCAGGAACACAATGCAAGTGCACCATCAAACTGTAGAAATAGTAGAAATAAATTAGGCCAAGAAAATTTTTCTGATATGTTTGTTTTTATGGGTGAGACAGAAAAAGATTTGGCAAGACTAAAATATGTGCCAGTAAGTGAAAGAAGAAAGAAGTGTCAGTAGAAAATAGGAGGAGGGTGTGAGAGACAGCAAGCAAGTAATACCATAGTCTAATAATATTCTAGATCAAATGTTTCAAGTTGAAGAGAGTGATTTTTCTACTGCTTGACAGCTGGTAAAACTGGAAGCACATTTATCTGAATTTTCACAGACATTCACATTTGTAAACCTTATGGAAACAAGGTCACAAAAGTGACTTGCTTTACACCTTAAAAATGTTGCATCATGAAGCCCAAGTTATTTATACAGAACACCTTTTAGGGAATGTTATATATGGTCAAATCCAGGCCAAGAGCCAGGACAGGGGCTCACCTGCAAGCCCAGCACCAAGGCAGTGCTGTGGGGGGAGGCCCAGACAGGCCCCTGATGCACTGGGGCTAAACCTTGGATGTTTTAAAATGAAAACGAAACACAAACCAAAGCCCTTGTTGGGCTCTCACTGCTAATAGATGAGGGTATATTTAAATTAATTTCCTAACCTTGTGGGCTAGTACATGGCCTGTATCCTGAAGCCAGACTATCTCTTGGGCTCTCACTTGCTAATGCATCTCCTAAGGAGGGCTCTGCCACCCCCCATTACAGCTCTCTCACACCGCCCTCATCCCCCCACAGGCACAGTGGGTAACACTGTGGGGCAGCTTTTCACTCGGAAGGGTGAAATTTGTTGTAGGCCTGGGCTCCCTGTGCTGTGTGAGGGGCCCTCGCACATCCTGGGCGAGCCCTGAGGAAGGGCAGCACCTTCCCAGTAACAGCCAAAACACTGTGGCCAAAACACACACAACAACAAGATTATCTAAAGGTAAAAGCTAATTAAACCAAAACCCCTTATTCATCAGGTCAAGGTACAGCATAAACAGGGTTGGTGCAGCCTCTGTGATCACACAGCCTGGGTGATCTTTGGTCAGGGTGAGGCGCGCAGGAGAAGGCGCTGCAGACACCCGGCTGAGGGCTCTGCAGGGTGCCGGGAGTGTGATGGCTGTTTTAGGACAGAGAGAGCTTTTGGCAAACAAGCTGCCTGTTCACAGCAGTACCTGAAGGTCCACACTCACTTTGTCCCACAGCAGTGCCCGAGGCCAGGTCATTGCTGACGCTTTTATTTCCATTTCAGTGACACTTTCAGGCAATCTCGTTATGCGTGTGCTCCAACCGGCAGGGATGTGCTGTAGAGCAAAGACTTCACACAGCAAACTAAAGCTGTGCTGAGTAGTGTGGCCTTGTTTGTTTAATCTGAAAGCTTTTCTGGGAGGTGTCCCACACCAAATATTGGTAAGATCCAGTGAATCATTCCCATTTCTCGTTTGCTTTTCACAGCTAGTCCTGGGGACAGCCCCCTCTGCACTGAGACAGGCGACAACTGCAGGATGAACCATTTCCTTTAACAGTTGCATCAGCCCCCTCTGTAAGTTACTATTTTCTGAGAATGGCAATGAAGTAACCAGACAGTACAGTACTGTACTAACAGCACCTTGTGGTAGAGAAATACAGGGGCTACGGGACAGCAGAAGGAGAAATGCTGACACCAGGGCTATCATAGGCAAAAACCCCTCGAACTGAAAACTCCATACAGCGCTCTGGTAACCACAACAGCACAAGATCTGCAGTTTTAAGTCCTTCAAGTATGACTGTAATAACAAAAATTAGTAACTGATTGTACGTACACTGCAGAAAGCAAGCTCCTATTCTTCTTCTCTTCCAGAGAGGTATTTACAAATAGACTACTCAGAAAAAATTAGAAAAATGTGACCATAGATTCTAATGATGCATTTCTAATGGTGATTAGAACTATTAAAAACATTTCTAATGGTTTCTAATCTATATTTGAAACTCTAACAAGCCAGAGCATTTTAATTAAACTTTGTAATTAATACGAAAGTTGGAGGTGATACAGTTCTTTGAAAAAGTACTAGAATTGGCGAGCAAAGATAGCCATTGTTTAAAAAAACAACCAAAAAACCCAACCCAACTCAAAGAACAGAATGGAGTAGGAGACAAAATGGAGAGAAGGAAAAAAGTTGTAAATTACTTCAATAACCTCTAAACTGTCCATGGAATAAGAAGTCATGGATTTGCTTAACACAGGACAGGGAAGTCTTACTCTTCTGATAAACATCAGCTCATAAAATTCAGCCAACTGAATCTTTACTGTTTGTAAATAATTTGTATATTGTGTGTATAGATTTATGTCTATACACATAGTAGTTGAGCTGGGGAGGTACAGTAATTTTTCTTGGTGTGCTCTCCAAAAGTCCTCACCTATGCAAGAGATGGATTTTTAGGGACAGTCAGAGAAGACACAAAATCCCAAGAACTTTCATAACACTCATAATCTTTTTGAAGTGCAGAAAAATATTTTGATTTCTCACATTATGTGACAACCCTCCCAACAAATCTATATTAAAAACCAGAGCAGCTAACAAGGCAAAACAGTTTATTACCAAAGCTGTTATGCTTCAGGACAGGATGAGAGAAGCAACAACCTGTGACTGATAGCAGTCATACTGCTTAATATGTTACTGGAATCATCACTGAAAAGTAGTTAAATACAAAAATGACATAAAAATTACTTACATTTATTTCATAGTATTTACAGACCATACAACTGGTGTACTGAAGAACACACTCATTTAATTCATGCATCAACTCAGAGCACAGCACTTTGTTTTGTTTGGCACAGTCCAGTAAAAATATGGAAATATAGAATAACCTAGAGAAATATGTTGAAATATTTTCTGCATTAAAATACTTTAAACTTGTACTCCTCAGAGCACTGTATCTTTGTGGTTCTATGCTATCCAACCTTGTAATGCCATTCCTTAAAATGAAAGCTAAGAAGGTATTCTGAAAACTAGTAGTTCCTCTCGTTCTAAAACATAAAAGCTGCTGAGTCATCATTACTTGATAAATATTTATGCTGAATCTGATAAAGTAACATTTTAACTTTTTTTTCTTCAGCTGAAGAAAACATAAAGCTTCTGAAGCCAAGCCACCTTGAAATTTGGGAAGCAGCTTTTCTAGCTGAAGTTTGTCTTTGCTGCAGCAGAGCAACCTAAAGCACTTGACTATTACTCACTTAGGGGGACTTTTTCCAGTTAGCAGTTGTTTCACTTTTGCTTTCTTCCTGACAGAAACTAATCTCCCTTCTGAATGTCCATTGTAAAAGAAACTGAGTAACAGACCATGAAACTGCTTAGAAGATAGAAAATATCTACAAAAATACAGAAAATATCTACAAAAGGACTGTTCTATCATTGAATGCATTTCTTTTCTCATTAATTTACTGGGGGTCTGCCCATTACATTCTTTCCCTGGCCAACCCATAAGAAAACACACAGATGCTTAGAAAGGAAGTGTCTCTTCATAGAATCATTTCTAATTTTAATATGTTAGTTTCTATTTGATAAAGTAGATGTTCCTAACAGCACGTAGAAATGTTTAAAAATATTGTTAACTGTGTAGTACATTTGAGCTTGCACTTGAACAACCTTGCACAAAAAGAAGAAATTAACATTGTTTGGGATAATGCAAGTTTCCTAATTCTAGTAACTTTTTCTAAATTTAAACATGAACAATATTTAAACACAAGAGAAGTTATCTCATTTTCATTTCTGTATTAGCCATGCTCAATTCTTAAGTTCTAATCCTGCAGTCTCAAACACACCCTTAAATAACCTACTGGACTCCTCAGCAGGTTAAGGTGAGCACACATATAAGTTTGAGTATTTGCAGCAGAACATTAGTTTTGACTTAAACTGTCATCACATCTAATGTAGACAAGAAATGCAAATGTACTTTATGACCACATATGTTGCCATACAAAGACATCCTCTGGATATGACTTTGGTCTATATACTGCATTGAAATACAGCATAGAGAGGAAGCAGACCAGGAATTCCAGTTCAGAAGGGCTTTTGGGTAACCTCCATTTACGGAATTTACATAAAATGTTGTAAAAATTTAGAATTTATTTAATTAAAAATTTATAAAATAACAAAACTAATGTATTTTGAAAAAATCTCAAAATTCTACAAAAACTGTGAAGGCTTTTTCCATCTGTAATTACCATCTGAATATTCAACATTTGGCATCAAATGCCTACTGAAAATGAATATTTGAGTCAGTTTTTTTGGACTATGTGGATGCTCTATGCCAACTTCTAAAGCAACACGAAACTCCTCATTCAGAGTCCAAAAAAATGGAGGAAGACCCTAAAAATGTAGCAGAAGCATTTCCGCACACTGATTTCAGTAGTCAAGTTTGTGCAGAAGTGATTCCACTAGATTCATAGGGCACCTTTTTGAGGCAACAGAAACTTCTCACTTCATAAGCTTTTTGACATTTTCCAGCTCTTCTATAGGCTGCCATTTCTGTTGGATTGTTAACAGCTGGAAGAAATGGAAAATATGAAAGTTAGCAAAATCCCAGTGGGCATTTACTCCACTCCCACACCCCCCAAGTCATACATCAACCTATTGGTGAAGAATTTCTAGTAGCTTTACATTTTTCTTTCAGAGGTATGCAAAAATAGCAACTAATGACATATATAATAATTTGTTGAACAAAATAATTTGGATATTACATAGATAATAATGCCAAAGAATTTTATTTTTCCTTATAGTAGATGCTTTACTAAATAAAGATATTTTTCCTTCAGGCTGCAGTACCTAAATATTCTTAGTCAATTTTGTAATTCAGGAACAAGGGGAAACAGCCTTCCTCTGTACTCCAAATTTCCAGTGTTATCAATGGATTTGAGTAAATGGATGTTGGCAGTGGGAACAGACACAGCACAGCAACTAGAAGAGCACCATAAGTTCGAGATCAGACCTAGAATGTAATAGCTGATTCCCTATCATTAGGTAACACAGGAAAGATATAAAGTAATGAACTAAAATTTTGTTTCTACTATTAATTAGATATACATCAGCTTTACTTGTGTTTTCTCATTAATATTTTGCTAGTTCTTACACATTAAAACAAGTTACTTACTGTGTTGGAAATATATGCTATTTATATTGACTATATTGCACGTAAAAATTACCTTCTGAGGCTTGGTAGGATCAATATTTTCCCAGGGTTCTGGATTGCCACTCCTGTTAATCCTTTAAAAGAAGATAAAACAAGACAGGTACTACGTTTTAAGGTGTGTTCTTCTGTACATTTTTCTTAGATGAGCAGCCTATCATCAGCAGAGCTATTTACTTAAGTAAGGAGTTCCCCAAAACACAAGTTTACAGGTTTGGGTGTTCTGGGTAGAATCAACAATGGCTTGCTTTATGTGCATCTTCCAAAGGACCAACCAAGCCAACACTCATGTATCGTGTCATTGTAAGGGAAGCAAGCTGAAAAATCAGAACTGAATAAGGACACAAAGTAAGGGGACTCTGGCAGCTAAAATGCCTATTCCAATCACTTTAAAGTAAATAAATAAACTTCCCAGCGCTTGAAGAGTATAGGACTTAATTCCAATTATTAGCCAAGCCACTAGAATACTCTCTTAAGTTAATATTATCAAGTGCTGCTCTTCATATACAAGTTAATAGTCTGGTTGCAACATATCTACATCTCATCTACCTATCTGATTATTTGAAATTCTTGATAGGAGCATTTAAAACCTGTTACACCTAAAGCAAAGAAAAAATATTAAATCAAAAATTAGGAAATAATTTGGACTATGGTCCAAACGAATTAATTTCTTTGCTATTTACTATCTGCAGATATTTCAGTTGTTACCAGTAGTCTGGAACATGAACATGGATTTTTTTTTTTTTTTGGATGTAAAACATGATGGTCAAATACTTCTGCTGAACACAGAAAGGTTAGGGTGAGCACCAAACAAGAAGTATTTTGCTTACATCACATCAGTTTTGCCGAATAGGGAATACATGCTAAAAGAGAACGCCCCAATTGCTGCCACGGACAGTATTCCAGCCAGGGGAACGAGCTGAAAGACAAAACGGAGAAAGAGCTGAACTGGTGTCCCGGCTGAGAGCCTCGACTGGGGGAGCAGGGGTGATACAGCACTCAGGCGGCATTAGCTGTTAGCGTGTATTACACCTCTGTATTACTCTTCACACCCCCTCACTTCCAACACGGGGCCCTCGCTCTCTCCATTTCCCCGGGAAGGTGCTCTCTATCCCGCGCCAGCCGCATCCCTCCCCAGGGGCGGGCACCACGGCCCCGGCTTCTGGGAAAACTTACTTCTCTTTTTGTTTTAAGTATCTGGAAGATGCTCCTGTTCATCGTGGCGGCGGCTGCGGACCTGGGACAAGCGGTTCGTGTTACCGCACCCCGGGGGAGAGGGGCAGGACGGTACCGGGCTGCGGGGACGGGCGCTCCCCGCGCTGCACACGCACCGCGTTATATACGCACCGCACCGCGCCCCGGGGCGCGGAGGCGGGACGGGACGGGACGGGACAGGACGGGCCGGGCCGGGCCGGGCCAGCAGTGCCACCCCCTGGCCCGCGGCGGTAGGCGCAGGGGAGCGCCCTAAGGAGTTCCCGGCCCCAAAGGGAGCTGCCGGGAGACCGGGATGCTGCCCGTGCTCTTCCCGCCTTCCTCTCGCAACTCCTTCTCTCTCCGTTACTGCAGCACTCAAACCTTTCTTCTCCATTTCTCCTTTGTCTTCTTGTCTGTCCCCGTCTCCAGGCAGCTGCCCAAAGAACAGCATATCCAGGCAAACGCCCAGGTGAGGCCAGGGTCTGTCTCTTCCAGAGCTCAGAGAGGTGCCTATAGCGACCCAAAGAGGACCCCAATGTCATCGTGTCACCTTTTGCTGCAGCAAAAGCTTAACCCAGGCCCATGTTCCCATGCTGTGTTACACAGCTCTCATCTCTTCCCAATATCCCTGTCTGGGAAAAACTCCTACCAGGGACAGGCTGGAGGTGAGTGCTGCCAGCAGATGACTCCTGTGTATTTCTCCCCTTCTCTCTTGCCCACTGGAAAGCAGTGAGAGGACGAAAAGGCTGCTGTTACTGCACGCTCTGCTGGCTCCCTGCAGCAAGGAACAGACACCACAGGGCACAAGTAGTTCTGTTGGTCCCTCTAGGGAGCAAGTATGGAAGTTAAGCAGCAGGGTCTTTGAGGCAAAGGACTGGCAGCATTCTGCTGTCACAACAACTGTCAGGTCTGGCAATTCTAATACAAACCTTCAAACACTGGGAAGCAAAACAGAATTACCTAGAATGGTTTAACAGTTTTTCTCAGCACTGCTGCTGAGAAACCTTTGGGTGTTTGGGACGTTCACAAGCATTGCTAGGTTGTTGCCAGCAATAAAGCAATAAGGATAGTCCTTTCCATAAAATGGTGATCAAAGCCACCCAGCTAAACCCTTTCCTAGGTTACAATGGCTTCTACTACGGCCTTTGGCCCTCCACAGTCACCAACTGCCTTGGAACTGCCTTTTGTGATCCATCTCACTATAAACCACACTCAGTGCAGTCCCTACTCTCCCTGTTATAAGAAAGAAATATTTGTTAATGGGTTTATAACTCACGAACCTCAGCTGAAATAAGGAACTATCTTTGAGAGTGGTGTATTTAGTTCACAAATATTTTCATTGGGAAAAGGAAAATATAATAAAAAATAATAAACCCCCTCCTACTCTACAAAGTTAAAATGCACACTTACATGTAGTACCAATTTCCTTGGATGTAACTGTATTTTAGAAGGTGACTTACAAAAATATACTGACAAAGAATGGTTGGGTAAGGAAAAGAATTTTGCACAAATTGTTATAAAGCAAACTACCTTCTCTAAAGAAATTATTACAGTTTGAGCTGATTGCATACTTCTTACCTGCTTACTCAACCCAAATGTTTGTACAATAAGCAGTAACTGACCTAAAATTATTCCAAAAACTCCAGGCTTCCAAACCTACAACAAGGTATTAAGCACTGACAACTTTTTCACTGCCACTATATTTTGGAATCTGCTTGTAAGAAAGTAAGCCTGTGAATAGGCACATATAAAACACTTCACATTTTATACAGAATGGGACTTACTTCCTCCTATTTAACATGTGAAAGCTTTTCTATTTTTTGAATATTCACTGTCCTATGAAGACTTCTCAACACATTATAAATTAAATACTCTTGTGATGCCAGTGTTTATACTGAGAACTGGGAAATCTACAGTAACACTAAAAAAGCTGTTCCACAGTGCTTTATCTAAGTATCTCAATCACTTGTTTCATCAGATGTAAACCTATCCAAAGCAAACAAGACTTTAATTTATTATTCATTATCGAAATTACCGACCTTTGACAAGTGAAACTTTACTGTTTTCATACACCCTGAAACCTCTAGTAAGTACAGTATTAAAAAGCAGGAAAGATGTAAGCCTTTTCAAAATCTTTGCAATACATTTAAAAATACCTATGCCACTCCTTTTTGATTCAAGAGGCTAATTCTTGATTATAAAATTTTTCATAAAATTCCAAGTCTTTTCTGTTTAAGGATGGTTTTACAGTCTTCAGTGATTTCACAAAATGCTCGTGTTTTACAGCAGTTGCTTCAAGTCCATTCTCTTGCAAAGCCAACAAAGCAGCCTTTAAAAGAAAAAAAAATTAACTTGAAGTGCTTATCATGTTTTAAATTGCAATGAATTTATTGCAAGTATTCTAAAATATCTTACAAGGAATAAAGTCTTAGCTATAGCATCTGAAAACAGCAATGTATAATTTACGGTTATTTAACAACAGATAAACATCAAATAAGGTTACTATAACTTCATTCACTCTTTCTGTCTGGATTAGACAATATATCCTTGATCACTTATATATTTGGATTTTCTTCCTAGTCTTCTCTCTTTTATACAAATTCTCAAATTCTGGATTTCTCATAGTTTTTTTCTCTCTGGTCTTGACAGTACATGCTAATTTCAGCTAAAAATGCTGCAGTTGCCTGCAGTACACAGAGTACAATTCACCCAGATGTGAGCATGGATTAGAGAGAGCCACACAAAATAAAGGGTAGTACAGTTCCTTAACTTCTATTAAATTATCACAGAAAGATCTCATTCTTATTTGACTTTTTTATTTAAAGAATTAACCCTTGTTCAGTTCTCCCGTTTTACTCTTTATATTTTCAATACAAACCGTGAAAGAATCTGTACTACTGATGGCTTGGTAACATCTATCAGTTAGCTCTCCTTTTTCATTGAAAGTTTTAATTTACAGTTTATTTCACAGATGAGCCAGGAATATTTCTTACCTCCTTGCACAGATTTTCAATATCAGCTCCAGAGAAGAGGTCTGTTAGGGCTGCCACATCTTGTAGTGACACATCAGTATCCAATGGAATTTTTTCAGTGCAGATTTTCAAAATGGAAAGTCTTCCCTGTAAATTGGTGTATATTGTAGAAGAAAACAAAACCAAACACACCAAAAATTAATCCTTCTCCAAAGCAGTTACAAATTTGAAATTAGAACCAAGGAAAATCCAGAAGAATACCAAAATTACCTGGTTTCAGTGGAAGAATAAAATGCTATTAATGGAGATATTACCTACTCTTACAGTTATCTCATATTTTAAAGTCTGTTATTCACAGTTACTCATTACTTCATGAAAACACAGTACTTTAGACTGAAGAGTCCATATTTGGCCTGTTTTGGGTCAACTTTTCATGTGAAGCTCAGGACAAGTAGCTACACTACCCTTGGGAACAGGGCACAAAAATTATTTGAAGCAAGGACAGACAACTTGTTATGGGTGTCTCCTAAACTGTAGCTTGATTTTGTAAACACAAATTTTCCCTTATTTCTCTATGCAATACTACAACTACATGCACCAATTAAAATGTTACAGGTACTTAAAATACAAGTGTCTTTATTCCTTTTTAGATTTCTTCATTATACCTTGAGTTTGGTGACTGATCTTCAGTGAATCATCCATCGTTAAATATATTACAGGAATATGCCCCCTTTGCTCTTAAAGTCAAGTCTATTGGCAATTAATATCTCTACCTTTAAAGCCACGTAAGGATGTGTAATAAATACATCACCTTCAGATCTGGAGGTGGAATATAGATCATCTTGTCCAACCTTCCAGGACGCAATAAGGCATCATCCAACATATCTGGTCTATTTGTTGCAGCAACTACCATGAAATCTTTGTTCAAAGTTTCCTGAAACTCTAGCTGAGTAAGAGATCATACAAACATATCAGTGCAACATGGTAAAGAGAGATAATAATTAAAGATTCGTTAAAAACTAATGAGAAGAAGGGAAGGGCAAAAAGACAATGTACCTTTACATGTAGCTATTTTCCTTTCAATATTAATATTTAATTTTTCTTGAAGTAAAAAAATGCCTTGGTGCAGATCAGATTAAAAAGAGGAAATATGGTTAGTATCTGCCTTGACAATGAACAGAGGCTTTTCTCTGGCCAGATTGTAACAAAAAATCTTTTATATGCAAAAATTCAGTATGCTACAATTCTGAAACTGTTTTCTTTAATATTCCCCCAAAGAGTATCAGAAGAAGAAGAAATTTAAATACAAAAAAGCTAAATATTAAATATTGCGAACCATTCAGTGAAAAGTGAAGGTACAACTTTTTGTTTAAGTAAGTAACTGATCATAACTGTGCTGCTTTTCTTTGCAGTATGTATGAGAAAGAACTACAAATGAAGTAGGGGAAATGCTTATAAAAAGTAAGTTCAGGGAGGAACTTGAATAAGAGTAAAAATAGCACAATCAGTCTAAAAAATTACTGTAGTGTCAAGGAGAGGATTTTTGTGACAGCAGATGAACACCAATTAGTAATGCTCATTAGCCTGTGTGGGTATTTTGTTCAAACAGTCTCCTCGAGGAACAGTGTACATAAAAACAGTCTGCAGCCTATATACAGTATTTTCTAAAAATTAGATATTATGGCAGAGTAAAAGAGCATCTTGCACATTTTTAAGCTTGAGGATTTTAAGTTTAAGAAGTGTGAATGCCAACGAGTAAAATTTTTGGAACAGGTGGACAGCATTTATCATTCTTCTACAGAAAAGGGCGTATAAATACCTTTCTTTCCTCATCATCACTTTGTTCTTGGCACTGCCCCTCAAGCTGTAATTTGCCTCCTCTTCTTTCTGTAACTTTGAGCCCAACACCATCCAACTCGTTGAGGAGAACAGACAGAACCCGCTGTGAGACCCCAGGGCCAGCTCTGCCGTGTGACCGAGACCCCAGGAGAGTGTCAATCTCATCCAGGAATATTATTGCTGGAGTGTTTGCTCTTGCTTGCCGAAAAACCTTTTTAAAAAATGTTCATAAAGTCAAACATTAATGCATGCAGTCTATCAGGTAAGGTGAAAAAAGTTCAGTTGCATATACTCTGTATTTTACTTAAGTTTAAAGGTACATTTATAACGACTCACAAGAGCTGTTCTGGCTTACATTTACTATAGGTAAATTCTGCTTCTTATTTATGTTCTTAAATGAAATGAAAACAAAAGACTAGAAATACTTATAAAGTTTAAAACTTTATAATTTTAGGGATAGATTCTCACTTTTATATAAATGTGAATCTCTAAGCCATTTCTATTTAATAATCAGATGAGACCTCTGATCTTTTCAATAACAAAATTTAGGTGTAACTAACACTTTACAAAAGTCAAGCAAAAATAAACCATAGGCCTTACACAAATTAAAAACTGTACCTGGGACAAAATCTTCTCTGAGTCTCCAACATAAGGTGAGAACAAGTCAGCACCACTTACAGAGAGAAAGGAACAGTGACAACTGGTGGCCACAGCCCTCACCAGCGTGGTTTTGGCACAGCCAGAAGGCCCATAGAGAAGGATTCCCTTGGGATGGGACAGGCCCATCCGAGCAAATGCCTGAGGAAACTTCATAGGCCACTCAATACTCTGCCAATACATAAAAAAGGGATGAAATTCTTAGCAACAAGACTACAGTTCATAGGCAATCAATAAAACTGCCAAGCAC